TTATAAATATTTTATATATATATATATATATATATATATATATATAAATTTCCTTACTCTTTACTTAAATAGCAGATATCTCTTAATCTTATTGACTCTGTATGTACCTTGCATCCATTCTGTTCAGTGGCAAATACAACTCCTCTTCTTTCCGCCAATTCTGTCTTGTTATGACAATAGTGTCATCAAATTCACACTTACCAAATGAATACTCCAGAGGCGAACCACTGACATCATGTCCTAAAAAACATTTCGGACTTTATATGTTTCTGATAGAGTACAAATAACTCTTACAATTAGAGAAACATTCCATTACTCATTGAGTACTCGTTGAAGCTTCTTTCATTCTTTTCGAGGTCCGACAGATGCTGTATGCGTATGCCAGAAACCTAAAGCAAGCCATTAGACCATTAAGCGAGATTATAAGAGGAAATTGTTTTACATGATACTCACATTTTTATGAAGGATAATATATGGATTATCTTTGAGATCCGGAAATAATTCATCCACATACGACAATCTAGTTTTACTGGCTTGAACGTATGGAGGCAAAATTTCATTTAAATGATCCATTTTATCACCGCAATGATTTTCTTGTCCTTTGTTCTCTCCGGAAGGATATCCAACTCACAATACTGCAAAGGTTCTTTTTTTTCTTCTTCGACTCTCTGAATTTCGGCCTTCAAGTGTTAAGCCCAGTACCATGCGTCTCAAAGTTTTATATAGGAAACTTAGCTATCGCAAAGGTTCAGTTCGTTCAGTTTGAATTAAATGGGATCAAAGATGGCGCATTTGTAAAGTCATCAACGGGATATTCTAAAGAGAGGAAATGATTAAATAAAGTTGCCCCAAAACATATAACTGTCGCCACTTTGAGCGCGTCTTTTGAGTTTGACACGCTTAAATTTAAATAAGTTTCGACATTTTTAATATTTTTTAAAATTTAATATTAATAAAAATTATGGTATTATAAATAAAGAAAAACTCTTGTAAATTATAAGTAATCTTATGTAATAATTGAAGTAGCTTGAAAGCTGCTGTTTTTATATATCGTCCAGTTAGTTAATACATGCGAATTTAATTTATTATATAGAAAAATTGCACATTATTTACCGCGTTGACTCCCATTTAATTATCAATTTATTTAAATTCGAGACTATTTTTACGTTCATTATTATAATGTTTTTGTCTGTACATACATTTATCTACGACATAATACAGTATATATTCGAAAGTGTACATATTTCTATAAAAGATTATTTTAATATTGCCAAACTATTCACGTACATTTTTTTCATACATTTCTTACAATTAAAAACATGATTGGTTCTGCACGAGACTACTGAATCTATTTGATTTATGTACAAAGAATAAGAATATAATTACAAAAAATGATTAGTTTACAACAGTTTATATCTGTTAGGTACATTTTAAAATAACATTACATTTGAAATAATTAATTATATACTAATATTAACGTTATTATACAGAGTGTATCTAAATTAACGCTCACTAATCATATAGTGTTATTCATAATAAAAAACTGAGACGAAAAGTCCTCTATCATTTTGCAATTTTCGCAATATTTTGTTTAGTTGCTTAATGAGCAAAATGTCTAAAATCGACGTATAAAACAACTTTAACATATTTTTGAGAATTCTTTAAGAAAAATCTTCAAAATATTTTACGAAAAAATATCTTAAAATTGTCTTATCGATTTTATGTTTATTCGGCAATATTTAGAAATTAATATCTCATTAATTATTACGAAAATTGCAAAATGATAAAGGACTCTTCGATTTAGTTTTTTATTAGGAATATTGTATGATTAATGGGCGTTATTTCAATTACACCTTGTATATTCTTCTCTTTAAGATAAAATTAAAAGATAGATAGAAGTCACAAAGGAACATGTAAAATTAAAAAAGTAGTAGACAACTGTTATTTTTTCAATATTTATGTCCTTTCAATATTTAAATCCTTTACTATTTATCCTTTACAGCAAGTTTCATGTTTCTGGATCCGATTAGGCATGAAAGTTCTTTTGCATTTTTTACAAGGAATTAATTGTGCAGTGTGTTCTTTCCAATTAACATTTTCTTCGTTAGTATCTGAAATTCATTGTGCATATAATATATAGTTTATAAAATAATTTTTGAGTTATATTTAAAAATATGCTCATTGTTTTTATCATTTCTATCATAACTTCTCTTTTAACTAATTCTTAAATAATTTCATACATTATTCTATATTAAAGTTTGTTGGTACTTTTATAAGCAACTAAGTATGAAAGAAATATAAGAAACTATATTTTTTTTCTACTTAAAGATATGATTAATTACATAATTATAGAGTTTATTCCTTAATTAATTTTTTTTTAATTTCAAGTAGGTTTTAAGAGAATCTTAATCATTATATACAATTAGTTATTAATTCTAATCATTAAAAATCAATAAATATAATATACAATAATTATTAAGATTGGAGAGATTCAACAAAAGAATGACAAATTAAACAATTCTAAATTTATATATGTATTGTTTCGTAAACAATGCAATTTTATTAATTTAATTAAAAATATCATTATACCTTGGTATGTATGGGAAGATATTATTTCTCGAGTTGGTTCAAAATGTAATTGAGGCTGAATTGTAACGTCAACCTCCAATGATTTCTCAAGCTTTTTTGGTGGTGTTCGTGATAATTGATGTCTCGGTTTCATTGGATCAAATGTTATCTGCACATCCATTGATTCTTGCTGTTCTTTATTTTCTTCTTTCTTTTTTTTTGTCTTGAGTTTTACTTTGTCGATACTATATAAATCTGTTTGTGTGCTTATGGCAGACGTATTCTTCTCATTAGAACTAAAATCAATACCACTAAAATCAATTTCTTCAAAAACTTTGGAGAGCTCTCCATTATCTGGACTAAACAGATGTCTATTGAGTTTTTCTGTAGTTCCGTTTTTCTTCCTGTTTTTATTTTTATGAGTCACATCAATTCTATTAATATTTTCTTTATCTTCTTGATTTTGATCCAATTTCTGTAAAATAAATTTTTATATACAAACTTTAAGTTAAATTTTAAAAAAGTTACAATATATCAAACAAAGACTTTAAATGAACAATAAGAGTCAAACAAGGAGTATGTAAGCCTATCACTGGATGTATTACGTAAAAATTCTGTATTAAATTATAAAATATATTTCATAATTTTATTTATACATCTATATCTATTTCATAATTTAATAAAGAATAATTTTTGCATAATACACTCAGTTAAAAAGTTAGTTTCTTCAAAGTTTAATTTTTTTAACTTAAGTTATTAATGTAGATAATGTATGGTTCTTATAGAAACTATTTGTTTAATCTTGTTTATATATACTGCTTAAAATTGAAAGTTTCTATATACACTGGTTATTGCAAAAAATATTACTAGGGCCTTGATCTAAAGACTAAGGATACTCACACGGAATGCTATTCTGATTTAATTCCCAGCCGAGGTAATATTTTTTGCAATAAAATTATTTACAGATTTGAATGTTCTTCAGTATTATTAAGATCTTTAAAAGATGCTATAAACATCAAATTAAAGTGCTTTGCAATTTAATTTATGATATTGCTACTGTAATTCAATTGATTTGGATTTCAAGACAGAAAAATTAATTCTGTATACAGTTTAAATAATTACATAGATAATATATACATTCACATAGAATTATACAAGAGCACTTAAAATCCAGCTAGACAGTTAAAGATTCTTCTTGTTGATATGTCTACCTGATTTTGACATGCTTTATCATCACATTTACATGACGGATTACACCTGATGTTCTTCTTTACGCAACCACAAATCCGTGATAAACAATTTCCTTTACAGCCACAACTAGATTTTTCCACGTTAAGTTTGACCACTGCCGAACTAAAAGAAACGGTCTTATGACTTGCAACATCAGGCTTCTTCAAGGTTCCCATATGTTTTCTTAAGATATTAATCTCAAGTTGCATTACTTTTACTTGTTCTTCCAACTTGGCAATCTCTATAAGACTATCAAAATTTTCAGTCTGTATCCCTATATTTTTTGAATTGCTAAAAAATTAAATTTTTCCTGTTATATGTCATTATCTCATTATCTCATAATAAAGAATAATAATATATAAATACAATATACTAGATAATTATTATAATACTAGATATATTCCTTAACATGAACGAAATGTGCGATTTTAGATGAATCCGTTTCTCGTTTACCTGGGCAATGTAGCTCTAGTTCTCAGTTTCGTTCCTTTCATTTTGATATTTGAGACAGCTCTTTAGCGAGTGGTTTACAGTCTAAAGTCAGATACACGTCGAGAAACACCGAAACCCAACAAATTATTGACGTTTCGAAAGTCTCGATAACGGATTTAAACGGATATCAGCGGTTTCCCTTTAAATCAAACATATGAAAAACCAACGATTTTCAGCGCAATCTGGCTCGAAAAACCGCGAACTAGAATCCTCCATGCTAGAGTTCTCTCGGATTCGTAAGCGCTCGCTGCTATTGGATAATCTAAAAGAATACACCAATCCACTTTGCAACAATTGAATCTGCTGAAGTAACCATTGAGTGCAAATCGGTTTACTATATTTTTAACGTTAATAAATAATTTATCTTTTAAATTATATATTTTTTGTTATCATGATAATATACCTCATAACGTTAAAAGAATTAAATTATTTTATTAACATTGAAAATATGTAAATCGATTTATTTACCACTCAATATTGCAGTCCATATTGCACTAGTTTTCCCAGCGGAAACGATGTGTATGTATGCCTCTTTATATGCACATAGGGTGTATCTAAAAAAATGAAATCGGATAGCGAGTTGATTGAGATTCAGAACGTTTTTAGCTTGACTTGGAATGTTCTAGAAACTGCTAAAAACAAAGCCTGACAAAATCGGGAAAGATATCGTAAGAGAGAAGAGAGAGAAATATATAAGCGATTTATTGAGCTGCTCTTCCAAAACTTAGTAGGACAGATAAGTGTAAATATTCAAAGCAATCCTCTCAAAATGTCACAGGAAACAAATCTGTTGCATTGTTATCATCGCGGCTGTGGAAAGAAATACGATCCGAACGACAATAAAGACGGTAAGTTGTATGTGCACATTTTATTAAGTTTTTAATACTAAATTAATAACATTTACGAAAAAAAGATGCTCTTATGATTCTTTCACAGACAGTTGCCTTCATCATCCAGGACATCCAGTGTTTCACGACGCATACAAAGGATGGTCTTGTTGCAACAAGAAGTGTACGGACTTCACTGAATTCTTGAATATCAAGGGCTGCACGAAGTCGAAGCATTCCAATGTGAAACCATTGGAGCCAGAGAAACCACCGATAGAGAAATGCAAAGTTGACGAAATAATACAGGTTGTCACAGGACCTCTAAGCAATGGAGCATCCCTGGAAAGACCTCTGTTTGACGCATCTCAACTCGTACTGTCGCCGACAATATCTCCCACTCTACTAGAACAAATTAAAGGATTGACAACTTTAGAAAATGACAAACCAACTGACAGTGTAGTACAGATAGGACAAACTTGTAAAAACAATTCCTGCAAGGGAACTTATACAGGGATTGCCTCTGATGAAGAGATTTGCAATTATCATTCTGGTGTACCTATTTTTCATGAAGGACTGAAATACTGGTCTTGCTGTAAAAAGAAAACTATGGAATTTTCCTTGTTTCTGGATCAGCCAGGTTGTACGCAAGGCAAACATATATGGTTTTCGAAGGTACCTTTTATACCATTTATAGATATAAGTTCATGATATCAATTATTTAATATGTATCTTTGACAATTGACACATAATTTATTTCAGAGTACAGGAAAGAAAGCTCAATGCAGGATGGACTGGCATCAAACTGGATCATATGTAGTCATTTCTATATTTGCAAAAAAATATCTGCCCAGTCAGTCTATCATAAAATTAAATCCTATCCATCTGACTGTAGATTTATTCTTTGTAGAAGAAGATTCAAGATATTATCTTGATATAGAATTGAAAGGAGTACGTATTAATTTTAATATTTTAATTTTGAATATGTAATTGAGGAACAGTATTTAAGATGTACATTTTACATTACTTTTAGATTGTTAATGTCGAGCAAAGTAGTGTACACATGCTGCCAACTAAAGTAGAAATTAAATTAAAAAAGGCCGAACCTGGTTCCTGGCCGAAGTTGGATGTTCCCAGAGAAGCAAAGCCAAGAAACTCTGAAAATAATGAAAATATTACAAATCTTAATTCGCAAATTGAAGCTGTGGATCTTAGTAATCTTTAAATACTGAGAATTTTTAATAGTTAAAGAATATATGATTAAATTACTGAAATTGTAATTTACTTTTCATTTATTTAATTTAAATGTAAAAGAGGAATGGTTTTAACAAAATATGTGCTGACTGTTTTCGTTACAGTGATCCTTAATGCGATAGAAATATATGGAAATGTATCATAAATTGTTTTTTATTTAAATTGAAAAAGTTCAAATTTGTATATGAAATATTGCATATTTTTTGTAAAGTTTAATTATTTTTTTCAGCCTTGTCTAAATGAAAAAAAGAAATTAATAGTTTTAATAAATTTAAATTAATATTTCATTATATATAGAAATTCTTTTTTTTCCTATAAAACATATTCATAAGTTATACTGTACTTGTAATAATAAACATGCATTTAATGATCATTTTTACCATAATAACTGTAATAATCAAATTTTTCTATTATAAAATTTCTCGAAAACAGTCACAAAAATATTTAATTTATGGAGATCGAGCTTGTTTAGAAAAAGGTTCGTATTGCTTAAAATTCTTAAAAAAATTATTGCATTTCTCATTTTTAATGAGATAAATATATATTCAAGCATTGAAGAGAGAAAATTCTAAATACAAAAAGTGCAAGCAAAGGGAACAGACCTAAGAATAAATGTGTTCAGATATGGAGGTTCTAATATATATCGCAGTTAGTCTTTATTGGTGTCAGTGGTGGCTACTAACCTTTTTGATCATATGATGTACATGTATATTCGCTGAATAATGTTGGCCACCAAATTGAAATTGCGGGTAAATAATCATTGACGCATTGACGTGAAAATATGAAAATAAATTAATGTATATATATTCTATGATATATTCCTCTTATTTTAGATATTAGCGCTTCACGGATATATGCAATCAGATGTGATCTTTAGTGCTAAATTAGGATCGTTGAGAAAAGGATTTAAGAAAGAAATAGATTTCACGTTTATAAGAGCACCACATAAAGTTCCACCTCAAAATAAAACTGATCAAGAGGATGAAAATGGTGTGAGAGAAATATTAATAAAAAAAGAATATAAAATATTTTATCCTGTCAAGAAATTGCATCATAACTTAATAAGCACTAATGATATTGCTATGTATGAATTGTAGGATATGGATGGTGGTTTAATACAGAGGATCATGTGTTTAAAGCTACAGTGCCTAGTAACTTGTGTATAGGATTCAATGACAGTGTAGCTGTGATCGAGAAAGTGTTTTCAGAACAAGGTCCTTTCGATGGAATATTGGGTTTCTCACAGGGAGCAGCTTTTGTCAGTATATTATGTGCTATGAAGAAGAAGAAAAGTGAGTTTAAAAATAATATATATATTATGTGATACACATACATGTATATGCTTACATAAACAAAATAAATATATAATTGCTATTTTCTTGTAGTATTACAAATCGAGTTTGACTTTGTTATTGTGATATCTGGATTTAAGTCACTATGTGCACCTCATACAAAGTATTATGATGAAGAAATCGATATGCCTTCCTTGCATATTTATGGAGAGAACGATCAAGTAATTCCAACAGGTATATGATGAATAATTTGATATTATGATGAGTTTGATATCATTAATTATAATCAGGAATATTGAAAGCAAATCATATCCAATGCTTCATCAATGCTAATATAATCCTTCTTTGTTATAGTAATGGCAGAGCAAATTAGTTGTCTATTCTCAAATAAGAAAGAGGTACGGCACGAAGGTGGACATTACGTGCCGAGTAAAAAAGATATTTATAGGGATTTTGTAATGGAAATGCTTAGCAAATATAAGAACTTAAATAGTTAACAATGGTCTTATTTTATTACTAAATTTTATTTACCTGATTTAGCATGCGATTCTATTAGAAAAAATTTTCTGTGTACATGAATAATAGATAAATATAGGGTGAATCAGTCGTTGAACTAGCTTTTTACCCTATGAGAAAATAATTGACTGTACACGTTATAATTCAATTAGGTATGAAGTCGATAATTTTCTCATAGAGTAAAAAGTTGGTTCAACGACTCTGATTCACTCTGTATATGCTAGGGGATTTTTAAAAATATTAAATAAAGATATGTAATCATGTACAATATATTTTTGTTCACTATCACATAGCATGACATTATTGTGTATTGTTACAAGTCTTATCGTAGCGTATAGTTAAAATGGTGTTGCCATTAGTTATAAAACTGTATAAGTTAGACAATAATTAATAGGATACAATATTATAGAACTTAAAGATCATTAATTAGAACATTATATTTTACATTTATGATTGTGTACTATATTAGATCAGATCCAGTCTGTCTTATATGCCAATACGTCATAACTACAAATTTGTAATTTAGACGTTATTAGAGTCATACATGTTCAATAAAAAAATGTAATGCTTCTTTTACAAAACATTGCATTTGATTTTCCCTGTGATGCAAGGAATACGTATATAGAATAAGTGGAAGTGAGCAGAGAGAGATAGAGAGAAATAAGATTTAATTTGAAGATATTTTAAAGAAGTATTTTAAAATAATTAAGCTATACCTGTAACTTAAATGTAAGCTGAGGTATTCATATTTCGCACTTTGACCATAACAAAACACTTATATTAATAATTTTATAGCTATATAAATTTGGTTTGATGCACAATAGTGAGCAGAATTTTGTTTTACTTTTATTATCACTTTCAGTCTAATAATCAAGTACAAATTAGTACTCATCACATGTCCTTACAAGACTGACGATCGCGTGACTATATAGCATCCTCATTAAATTGAATATTGAAAAATTTTGCAGCTCTGAATACTTGTATAAAATTGCATATGTCTAATATTCATACGGTGTTTAGTTACGATATTCACACTCTAGTATTCACATATGTAGTACATGAGATTTCCTTTTTATCCTTCTCTTATCATTCAGAGCTGCTCTGACGATTACTAAGTTGCATAGAACACAAAACTTCATCGTCGAGTGACGCAACTGCGTCATTTCAAGGAGACTGCTCTTGGCCATTATTTTCCTGAGACTTCATAACGTCAGGGAGATCTGGTGGTAATGAGAATGGTGTCATTTCGAGAGATTCAAACTGGCCGTCTGACTGACGCAGTGCTAAACCGACTAATGCAGGACATTGTGCTTTTGCAGTTGACGATGTCAGCCCGTAATCTTGTAAAGTCTTGTTGTCTGACATTAAAAGATTATCCTTGTTAAATAGTTGTTGATTTGCCGGTGGTACTTTCATTATACCTGTAAAAAAAAAAGAGAGTGAGCATTAACTCCAATATAAAAGTAATGGTTTTATTTTTTATAAAACTTGCAACTATTAATGTTCATAAATTAATAATGAGCATAATTTCATCGAAATAGGAGGATATTAGTGTTAGATACATACTAATTAAAAGATTTTTCATAAACTTGACATACAGCTGGTCAGTAATTGTATGTATGTATGTATGTGTGTGTATGTGTATATGCGCGCGTATACGTAC